CCAGAGGAGGGGGGACCTGGATGGCTCTGACCTGGCCCCACTTTGCCAGGTGGGATTTTGTGTGCAAGCAGGAGGGTGTGGGAATTCCTCCAGGAGGAGGAGGAGGAACCTGCTTAGGCTGCAGGAATCAGGGCAGGAGCCCCCCATTAGCACTGCTAGATGGGGTGTGCAGCACTGGTGGCATGGCAAGGGCAAAGGCTGTGGGACATGGCAAGGCTGGGAGGGGGGCACATACTGGTCTGCCAGTGCTATTGCTTCTGCGTCAGGCGGGGGAATCATGAAGCAGACCCCCGGGGCGCTGATCTTGTCTCCCGAGCTGTCTGCCACTTCCCAAATGTCTCCACTGTTCTTCTGCAGGGTGTAGTGGGCTCCTCGGTTTACCTGGCCCTGGGGAACAGGAACCAGTCACAGCAGCAGGTCAGGACACACCACCCGCCCTGCTCCATGCCGGCAGCCTCGGGGAGCTGCACAGCAGGGAGGCAGGACTGGCATAAACCCCAATCCCTTCTCTTGGCACCCTCTCTCTCCTACGAGTGTCTGCTGCTTGCCAAAACCCCATGTGCCTGCTCCTCCCTCCCTGGAGCCTCCAGGTATGAAGCCATGCCTCCTCTTGCAACACCCACAACAAGCAGATTCCCACTAGGGCAGAGATGGGAAGGCGTTCTTGAGGCTGTGCTGTGGCTTTCCTTTTTGGAGAGGCAAGCAGCTGAGTCAGCTGGAGCTGCTCACTCCATGCCAGGCCCCTGCCACTGCTGGGGTGGCTGCTGGCTTTGCTGGCCCATCCCTTTGGTCAACAACTCAGTCCTGCAAGGACTGATACCATGATGGTGGGGATGAGGGGATGCCTGCTGGGACTGTGCTAGTGGGGAGTTTCTTTGATCAGAAATGTGCCCAGACATCTTTATCCCAGCACAGGGAGTGTGGGAATGCGACAGCTGAGCTGTCACAACCTCCTGAAGGGTGTGTGATGGGCATGCATTCCGGAGGCTGTGTTCCCCCCAGACCTCTCCTGCATTGTCCCTCCTGAGCTGCAGAACCTGCTTTCCCACTGGGGCGAGCACAACCTTCACCTTATCCCCACTGCAGAAGATATCGTTGCTTTGGCACTGGCAAAACCTTTTCCATCCCCAGTGCCCCCCAGGGAGCCGTTCCTCCGCAGCACCCCTGCATCGCTTATGGCATGAGGGGATGTTACCTGCTCGCCTTCATACTCGCAGAGAGCCTCCACGGGGACAGGCTGGAGCGGTGTCTCGCGGCGGTACCGCAGGGGCAGGATGTGCTGGCTGCGCTCCTGCAGCGACTTCACCACCTCCTCGTATTTGTCCAAGGCCTTCTCCTGGTCCTAGCACAGCGCAATGACCAAAACCAGTAAGGAAATGTGGGAAGAATGAGCTTCTGGGCTTTCCCACCTGGTACCAGCGTACCAATGTACAGCTGGGCCAGAGACTGTGGCTTCTCCTTTGCTTGTGCTAGTGAAAATGGCTCCTGGGTCCTGCTCTGCAGCCATTGTTTCTACACCTGAGCTCCTGTGCTCTCCTGCCTGCCTTTGCAGCCGTGCTGAGTACTGGGATTATGCCCTTGAGTTCCCATATTTTAGCACTAACCCCCCAGCA